AAGGACAAGGGGGGAGTAATCATGGCAAGAACACGAAGCTCCAAGGAAAAGGCAGGGTCGTTCGTTCATCAGAGACGAACGAAATCCCCTGGTTCAGTACGGAGGAAGCCAGCGAATAAAGAAGAAAGGACTCGCGGCAATCTTCTTTTCTTTTCACATGTAAAGGAGCGAAAACTAGAATCATGCAGGTGCTACTGCGATGCTCGTCAATGTTGTCAAGAACAACCAGCCGCGCTGCGCTGCGTCGATGGCAAGGGCTCGCGACGCCGCACCATGCGCGTACATAGAACAGCAAAGGCTTCGCCATAAGACAGAGGAGTGAGTACGCGCGCAGAACGCAGATATGGATATATACCTTTCTCTTCCTTCTTCCTCTTGTCGCCTTTGCCGCCGCCGCCCCTGCCCTTGCCACGGCCGGCCTTGGGGGCCATTGGCTAGCTGGCTGCTGCGTCGCGCGCCCAAGCAGCGACGTACGACGATTGCCTCAAGCGCGGCGCGAATGGAGCGCCGGCAGCCGGCGGCGCGAAGGTTGAAGCCGCCGCAGTTCCCGCAGCAGCAGAGTAGGAGGAGGAGCAGAGGAGAGGAGGCGAGCGAGAAGAGAAGAGAAGGAATGAGGAGGGAGGGGGGCGCGCGAGGGAGGAGAGGATATAGGATGTGAGGCCGGCGTGGGATCTCTCACCAGTCACCAGACACGGATTTCCGCGCCATCCTGGCCTCTCGTTCCGGCGCGCCGGTAGCGTCAGATGCGAGGGCCCACGTTGCCAGCCACCGCGACGAGGAGGGGTGGCCCCTCTCCCTGCACTGCACGGGACGCTTTTTGTGTCGTGGCCTCATCGACGGCTGAGGTTGGTTTGATCCCCCCTCGGCCCTCACGGCACAATTGCAAAACGCTGGTAGTAGCAGTAGCAGCTGAAACGGAGACGGAAAGAGGCAGGAGACGTGAGCGCGACATCTCATGTCCGCGTCGAGGCAAGCTCGAAGCCGGGTGCTCGCGACGAACACGTGGAGCTGGACGACAGCTCGCTCCGCGACCAACTCGTGCACGTAAACGAGGTGGGGCATGCAACTCGACTCGACGGACGGCCAGGGGGGAGTCCCGGGGCAAGGACAAATTCTAGTGTCGAGGGAGACTATTGCCAGTGCGCATCGCAAGCATTGTATGATTGTGGACCGTCCGTTCGGCTGGCCTTAAATGTGAACTGTAGCAGCTGAAAACACTGTAGCAGCTGGAAAACACGAGAGAACAACACTGCTCCCGCTGGAAACTATAGCGAACCAGCCAGTTGGGGTAGATGCCAACGAGGAAGCGTCAGCATGTTATGTTCATGTACCACAGACATGGACGTATGGCATGAGCCAAAAGACAGAGCTCACAAACAAGCAACTAAACTTACAATTGTTTTACTTCTCTTCATTTTGTCTGGTAATGGGCGTACATATACAATGGCAAAAGGATCCGATTTTCCTATCAGATCTTTGTTTGTCAAATCTCTTGCCTGCACAAGCTTGACTTCCAAGGTACCAACAGGCTTCAGTTCCAGATCACTGTATATATAATCAGTTATGATCTTTCCTATGTGATTTAACAATACAGGCTAGAATGACATTAGGATCCACGAATCAAATTACCTGTAATCCCCAGGTATAATAGGAATGACTTTCCTTACTGGCCATGTAATTGAATCTTCAATTGCATTTTTTATAGTGTCCTGCACAAAAGGATAATTACACCATCTCAAGTATAGGGAACACGACACCCAATTATCTGCTACAAATATTAATGTATTGACAAACCTCAAGAGCATCTGAAATTCCAGGTACAGAAGAAATTTCGCCACCAATGACCTTCAGTCTGAAATCCAGCTTTTTCTGACATGCCACACGATTTAAGAAAAATAAATGAGATTAAGGTAACACATGTCAGAAAAAACAGAGAAAAAAGGAGAAAAAAAGAAACCTTCTGTCGTAGAGAAAAGCAAACAGCTCCAAAGCAAGGTAGCTCTTCAACTAGTGGTTTGAAAATCAAGCGGAAGACGCCTGTAAAGCCAATGTCCTTCACCTATGTGGCAAGACCACTCACACAGATTATGGTGCAAGACCACTCACATGCTAGAAACAGAAGCTGGCGAATAGCCTCGCCAGGTAAAGCAAAGAGACTGTGGTTCTGTTCGACGACCGATGCTGATTTATTACGGGAGAACAACACTGTTATTGAAAATACGATACGACTTATAAGTTATAGCGAACAAGCCCCTGCAGCTTTGTACTTTGCCCGTTCCTTCGGCTGTTCACTCAATAGTTTACCTTTACCCTCCCAGAAATAGAGGCCACCGTACACTCCCAAAGCTTCGTGTCTGCTGACTGTCAAAGCGTTGCATCAGCTGTGATGTCTTGTGACGTGCCATGCCAACTGCAACAGAGGAGGCCGCATTTTTTAAGTGCGGAGACGCGTGCTCCGTGCCCGCCCTTGCGCCTGGAGCTCGTTTCGTTGGCGCGGGCCGCGGGGCGGGAGGGGCAAGGGAAGGATGCCCGCGGAGGCGGAGCCCTGAGCGTTTTGTCCCGGGCGATGGCGTCAAAAGCTCCAAACGAATCCGCCGAAGAAGGAGCTCTGGGATGCTCGTGCGCCTCTTGTCCGGGTCTGAAAGCCTCCGCAGCTCCAAATGTGAGAATATTTCGTGCGCTTTGGGCTTTTTTTTTTTTGTTGCTGCGATGTCTTTCATATGGTACTTTTTTTAGGCTGTCTAGATAGACCGGAGATCTATCGCCGAACTCAAATCTAAAATGAGTCTCCAATATAATAACTATAGTCTTCAACAGAGTACTTATATGAAAGACCTATTTTGGATGTCAGGAGAGGTATAACCTAAATCTGAGTATCTTTTCTCCTGTAGACCTATTTGTAGAAAGGGTTGTCTTTTGGATCTTATTGTTGGAGAAGACAAAAAATAGATATTGAACCCTTTGCCTGTAGCGTTACCCAAAGAATAAATAGATCTTGTATTTTGGGTTGCGGTCGTTGGAGGCGGTATTAGGAAATGGTGTTTGGCTGCTTTAGACTGTCTCCAACGGTGGGAAGGTAAACACAAGACCTATCCGAGGATTTGAGTCCCGTGCAGGCAAAGGTCATGAAAAAAACTTCCTTCTCCAACAACAACGAACCCAAAATCCTTCGTCCGGACGGCTCCTCCAAGACGGCGGCGCAACGGACGGCCACCGGCGCCATGGCGCTCGTCGCGGGCGCGGCCAGCCCCCCTCCCCCACCCCCCCTGCGCCACGGCCGGCTCCCCTGTGGGCTCGGGTGGGGCGGCGGTCAGCCCCGGCGGGTGCTGCAAGGGGAGAGGGGGAAGGGAGAGCACTCGGCGGCGCTATTGCCTCGGCGCGGATTGAAGGGAGGGAGAAGCAGGGGAGCAGGGAGAAGAATAGGAAGGTGGCGGCGGACCGCACGACGATGTAGAGGCTGACGGCGACTAGGGCGGTGAACCACGATGGCGGCCCCCGGTCCTCATCCCTCCGCGCCTCAGCTTCGGATCCGGAGGAAAGCGATACGGAGGGAAGAGAAAGAGAGGGGGCGGGTAGAGCGAGAGGGAAGAGGGAGCAGAGGCGAGTGAGCAGGGCGGCAGTTCATGGCGAGCTCGGGCTTTGGCTGGGGCGGCGGAGGCGTGGGGTCGGCAGCGGTGCTCGGCGTGAGAGGAGGAGTGGAGCGGGGAAGCAGTGTAGGGGCGGGAAGAAGGGGGAGGAAGCAGAGCACTACGACACGCGACGACGGCTTCAGCGGCAGAGGGCGCGGCGCTCCGACGGCTTCAAGCTCCGGCAGCGGTCTGGCTTCTCCATCGCGCGGCGCCGCGGCCACCATCGGAGATTTGCGTTGCGAGGAGAGAGCGACGCTTTTTTGCATTTCGCTTGGCCGGGCAGGCAAAGTGCGTCGCATGGATGGGTCATCCGTTGGAGCCGTTTTTTGATAGGCAAAAGCACTGTATAAGACCTATTTCTGGGTTTGGGTACTCCGTTGGAGTCGGTCTTAGCGAGTCCGTGTCCCTCCGTTGACCGGAGTTTCTCGGAGAGACTAGTCTATTGCAATGTTGCAGCCGCCATATGTCAGGAACTGATGGGATGGGACACCCAGGTTTTGGCCTTTTATTAGGATCTTTGTTTTGTGCGACGAGGCACGCATGCTGCGCTAAGAGATGGGACGAATTGGATGCCTGCTACGTACAATGGTCCGCGTGTGATTTGTGTGCTTTTCGTGTATTTTCTGATCTACTCCGTATTTGTAATTGCGGTAGAGAAGTTGGAGCAAGGGAACCTGACCGCCCCCCTTTCAGACTTCCCATTTGACGTTGCATGAAAATATGAAATTTTGGCACCAAGATATGTACTTTCATTTTTAGCCAATCTCAGATGGTCACTACCGCACTATATCAGAAACCTCAAGCCACTGTCCTTTTGTTCCTTCCCTTTCTAACGACAGTACTCACACGCTGCACGCCTGCACGTGAAACGCAAGTGTGTTCGTCATTTTCCTCGCGCTCTGACGTCACAATCTGACAGCAGAGTTCGCATGCGTCGTCCCAACATACAGTTGCGGAAAGCAACTCCAGTCGAAGCATCTTTCGACAAAATGCAGTGCACGACAGCAGGACCATGCAGCGCCTGCGTACATTAAACCATGGTGAGCTTGATGGGAGCAACCATCCGTGACTGTGATTGCGTCAACTGCTAATTTTGTTTCCACTAGATTCTTGAGGATACAGACAAACCATTGCGATGCGCCGACAGCTTAACCGATCGAAACATAACAGCCGCATGTATATGTGCAACGGATCAATTTGCACCTGAAAAAGCCGCATGCATATGTGCAACGGATCAATTTGCACCTGAAAATTTTACAAACGCTCAACCAAGCAGGTCTCAAGGCCGAGTCAGAACCATCAAACCACCATGGACAGCAGCCAGCCCAGCCCCAAAATAGACGTGCACCCATACGTGCACAATTACTGCGCTTATCTGAACCTTAAGCTGTCCGCTTCTCGCGAATCACGCATGATTGGTTGTGGCGACCACTTCAGATGCAAGTTCAGCTTCCCACTCTTTGCTCCCTCCAGGTTGAAGCTTTCCTTGTACTCTTCTTCCAGCAAAACTTTTGTCAAGGTCAGGATGCACCGCCCCATGTTATCCTACAGAAAGCATATTCGACGGTTACCTTACATTTGCAGTAGACAAACTACTACGCTGGTAATAATATGAAAGCTCCAGTTGAACTTACTCTACGAAAAGTGTCATGGTCATATACTTCCAGCATAAGCATGTCATGTAAGCCATCTTCAACGACAAAATCAAAAGTCTGATTCCATACTGGGTTCAAGCTTTCGTTCACAACCTGTGGTCAGTCACATCATAGGGGCAGTTAAAGACTTGCTTTGTCCCAAGCATTTTCTGACCATAGCACTATTATGGTTCTCAACTGATCCAATTATAAATAGAATTAAACACAATATGTAGCTAACCAAACTGATGCCAACTTTGTGAGTCCATAAAAAATTTGACTAATCATGTTTAGACATAGCAGTTCAATACGACTCGGAAATATGAACACATCACTAAGTAATTTGTATTTGATAAAGAAATTACCCTTGTCTTGTACTTTGTCTTTGTCTTCTTGAGAGAAAGTACTACATATGGGTCAGATTTTCCATTCATATCCATCGCAGGCAGATCCTCCCCAGATATCACTGTTACTGAAAGAACTCCTCGTATGATGATTTCCCTTTTCTTTCTAGAAGACAGCCTATCAAAACTAGAGGCCCCTGATCCATTTTCCATGCTTGTCATTGTTCTCTCCAATGAAGTCATCGAAAACTGTTGGCTGAAAGGATTTGGCGCCTCTTCCTTCATGTCAAATGGACAGTAGAGCAGCTCAAGGTGCACCTGTTTTAATCATGTATGCCACGAGGAAAATATTATGTACCTCTATGACAACACCCCTGATGGATGATAACAAGGCATGGTAAAGCTTGTTCCTCAAAAAGAAAAAGAAATAAGACTATTTTCTAGGGTCAGGGAAAGGAAAAGTGAGCAGTGCTGCTTTCATGAAAATCAGGCTCACCTGACCCCGATCTTTCCTGTCCCTTTGAATCTCCAGATCTTTTACAAGTTTTAGCCAGACATCCTTCACTTTGCCTGGTTGTAGATCCTTCAGCCTGACTTGAGCACAGCCAATCAATTCAGATTCTTGAATGCCATCATCATCATAAATCTTCACGGTTACACTCTGAGTATCAGCATCTTCAACAGTAAACTCAAAGTGTTCATTCCAGATAGGGTTCAGATCATTGTTCTGTAAAGTAGTTGAATAAAGCGGTTAGAAATAACTCCAAAAGACAGAGCTCACAAACAAGCAACTAAACTTACAATTGTTTTACTTCTCTTCATTTTGTCTGGTAATGGGCGTACATATACAATGGCAAAAGGATCCGATTTTCCTATCAGATCTTTGTTTGTCAAATCTCTTGCCTGCACAAGCTTGACTTCCAAGGTACCAACAGGCTTCAGTTCCAGATCACTGTATATATAATCAGTTATGATCTTTCCTATGTGATTTAACAATACAGGCTAGAATGGCATTAGGATCCACGAATCAAATTACCTGTAATCCCCAGGTATAATAGGAATGACTTTCCTTACTGGCCATGTAATTGAATCTTCAATTGCATTTTTTATAGTGTCCTGCACAAAAGGATAATTACACCATCTCAAGTATAGGGAACACGACACCCAATTATCTGCTACAAATATTAATGTATTGACAAACCTCAAGAGCATCTGAAATTCCAGGTACAGAAGAAATTTCGCCACCAATGACCTTCAGTCTGAAATCCAGCTTTTTCTGACATGCCACACGATTTAAGAAAAATAAATGAGATTAAGGTAACACATGTCAGAAAAAACAGAGAAAAAAGAGAGAAAAGAAACCTTCTGTCGTAGAGAAAAGCAAACAGCTCCAAAGCAAGGTAGCTCTTCAACTAGTGGTTTGAAAATCAAGCGGAAGACGCCTGTAAAGCCAATGTCCTTCACCTATGTGGCAAGACCACTCACACAGATTATGGTGCATCCACTTTCAAATTTTGACATGCACAATCACTCTATTCGTGATACCATACACAAATGTGGGAAAAAAACCATTATGAGTAAACCAGAAAATAGCGGTGATGTAAATTTCATCTTTCTTAGCACAAGCACATGAAGACTAACAAATTATTCCAACTGGATACCCATAATGGTCAACTGTGTGAGGTAGGCATAACTCATGCATTTAGTGCATCCTCATATGGTGGCATTTATAATAAAGGACCAGGGCATAGCCGTGAAATATCTCACCTGTATTGGAAGCGCGACACCAAGTCTAGTTTTTACAGCAAGTATGATACTTGGATTGGCATCCCAATTCATCTCTAGCTCCATGACAATTCCTGATTCCTTAGTATTCTCAATGATGGAAATACCTGCACCAAAATCAGCAGAACTTGCAGGTTAGCAACATAACAGGTAATGAGGAACTTACACCACATCTTTGATGAGGCTAGATAGAAAATGAAAATCAAATAACACAAACCACGAAATTGAAGACTGCTGCAAACTCACCATAACACAACATATTATTTCTATATACTTTTGCATTATGCCATTATAAAATGAACGGGTTGCAGAAGTAACTATCCACTATGAACTATAACAAGGGCACTCGACTGCCCCTTTATCGTAGGTTCCAGTCCAGTTTACTGACAGCATATTATACATCTAAAAGAACTAAAGGGATATTCACACAATGGACCATCAAACGCTTCTGATTCTTGTTTTATTTCAAATACTTCAGCAATCACTAACTAGAGTATAAATGCAATAGCTTGATCTGTTGTGTCTTGTTTGAATGCACTTTTGTTCAAAGCACAGAAAATCGAATAACAGTTCAGTAACAACTAAACAGTTAAATGTAGGTCGTCCGAAAATGGAGCCTACTACGTAGCCACTAGCCAGCTCAATTGGACGCAAGAGAAAGTAAGAAATACTATTTTATACTCTCTTCTCATTATTACCCAGCATCTATCTCCTCTCTCACAAACATTCTTCTCTCCATGATCTAAGTGAAATAGCCTAGCTATTTGTTCATCGCTACTCGCTAGCAAGCATTATCTCTCATGTTCTTCACTCTTCCACATCAGACTCATCTACTATGTAGCTAGCCTTTGGACGCGCCCTAGTGTCATGGGCAAAAGCACCATCAGTGATGGTGGTGGAGTCATGGGTGCATGACTCATGCACCAGGGTTGAAGTCCTGGTGTGCACCTATCTAGATGTTTGTGAAGTTTAATGGATGTATGCATCCCTAATTGTGAAGTTATACTTTTGTAATCCAAAAACTGGGGAATATACAGTAGTAATTGTCATAAGATAAAAGTATACACAGTACTGTCCTCTGTGGACTTCTATAACATGAGGTGCAGTCCGATGTGGCATAGTCTCAAATTAAAAATCTCACACTTTGGTTCGATCATATAGAAGTAAATCAAATACAAGTATGACAGTGATGGAAAATGCTTGGGCTACCTTATGGAAATCAATGAACGGAGGAGTTTGAACTTTGAAGAAACCTACCGGTAAACTGTGGTGCAACAGTACCAAGAGTGAGTTTTGAGAACTTCAGGGATGCTAGGATTATTGGCCTATATTGTTCAAGAACAGGCTCTACAGAGGTTTTGATCAGTTCTGATGCCGCCTGCAATGACGAATGTCAAATAAAAAAATGCGTACACAATAAGATTGTACATAATCGAAGTCAAGTCAAACAGAGATAAAGTTGAGTCCAAGATTTGAAGTTCTGTTGCAAGAAAGCGTACATCATTTACAAACGGCCATATCTTTGTCAACTCCTGATTAAGCCATTTTAACTGCAAGATTGCGTCGTCAACATACATTCATCAACATATAGTGCAGAAGAATTAGAACTAACTAAAGACAGCCAAGCCAGATACCTTTTGCTGCGATGAGAAAACAACCCAGGAAGGGTATAGGTTAGCGGGGAGTAACTTTCGCGAATCCTCAATCGTCATTTTTGAGAAACTAGCAATGGTAGCAGCCTGCATCAAAAACAGAGAAGACCACTCTTAGTATCAGGAATGGCTGCAATCTGGACAAAAGACCCACCAAGTGGACCATTCCAGGTTTGAGATATATACAGAATCAACGGCATGGATGGAAATTAGTGAAATGGAAACCATGAGAAGATCGGGACAGGCCACAGGCCTAGGGCAAAAAGTGCTAACTGTTGCATGTGGTTCAGTGGTTGTCAACTTTATTGTATGCAAACTTGCAGTCTTGCACAATGAGAGGGTGTGACCACAAACAACGAGCTTGCACATGCTAACAGACATGTAAACAAGCACCGAAACAGGCAAATGGCCTGCAGTCCAGCATTGCAGTACCTAAACCAAACACCTTGCTTCGTGCTATCTCCTACTTAGGATTCAATGATTGCTACCCCTCAAAGTAATAGAACTCCCCCATCGCAACAAGGCGTCAAAGCATTTCTGTACATAGTGTGCCCAAAAGGGAAAGGGGCCTTTCCGGCGCACCAGCAAGGCCAAATCTACTATCTGAAACTAGTGGAAAAGTGTTAGGTACTCTCTAGTGGCGAGCTGGTATTGACCATGGGCCAACACGGACAGCCCATGGAGGGCCCAAGGCGGCAATAGGCAAACAATACAAAGGAAGGAAGGCAGCAGATGTGGAAGGCATCGGATGAATTATCAGAAGAGTCTTCTCCTACCTCTGTTCCTCATCTCCCTCCTCTGGCCTCTCTCTCTAGGTCTAGAGCTCTATCTCCCTTGCCTAGTTCAATTCCTCCTTTCTCCACCTAGATTGCTCCGTTAAGCTCAAGACCTCCATTCCCCTGAGGTCGTGTAATCTGATTGTATCCTAATCAAGTTGTTCTGTGATCTATTCGAGCATGGCGTGCTAACAAATTGGTACTCGGAGCAAAAAACAAATCCTGTCGTCCACGAAATCCACCACCACCACGCCATGGGTCCTCTCGACTACCAGTTGCTCTGTGCCGAGATTCAAGCAATTCGCAAGGACTTGGAGTCTCAGTTTGTCGGGCTCCGACAGTCCTTCATCGAGCCGGCCTCCACCGCCATCACTACCACGCCATCGCCGCCGCCGGTTCAGCTGCCCACCCCGTACCACGACGACTTCATTGCCTTCAACCAGATCTGCATCAAGAACGGCTTCACCTCCACCGACCCCCACACGCCGCTCGACGCCGGCCAGAAGCTCGTCCAGTGCGGCCCTGTCGACATCAAGGACATTCCCGCCTCCGCGGCCTTCTCCACCTGCTCCTCCGCCTCGGCCACGCCCGCGCCCATGCCTCCCTCTGCGTTCGCGACGACCATGAAGCGCACGAGGGTCTCGATCTCGCGGGTTCCCGTGGGGGCTGCGGGTGGTGCACGGAGAAGAAGGCAGCGGGGTGCTCCTCTGCGCCAACTTCGGCTGCGTCGACCACGACTTACTCCTCCGCTGCTCCGACTGCAGCGTGCCCCACCGCGTCCGCCTCGGCTGCGCCAACCGTGGCGTGCTCCTCCGCGCCCACGGCGGCTCATCGACCACGGCGTGTCCCTCCGCTTCTCCGACCATGGCGTACCCTTCCGTGTCCACCTCGGCTCCGCCGACCGTGGCGTGCTCCTCCGTGCCCACTTCGGCTGCGAAGACCGCGGCGTGCTCCTCTGCACCTACCTCGGCCTCGTCCGCCTCGGCTTCAACGACCACGGCGTGCTCGCCCACGCCCACCTCGGCTTCGCGGACCACGGCGTGCTCCTCCACGCCCGCCTCAACTTCGCCGACCGCAGCGTGTCTCTCCTCGTCCACCTTGGCTTCACTTGAGGCCGCCTGAGCCGTCTCGTTCGGCTACTACCCCAACGACCCTCGCCTTCGCCGTGCCTTGTGCGCCAGCCGTGGCCATCGGCGCCACCGACACCACCAATTGCAACTCCACGACCAACTCGCCTCTGTCGCTGCCCCAAGCCCCTTCGACAAGCACCGACAACATGGAGCTCACCCTCGGCGCCACCGGCAGAGCTGCGACTCCATCGGACTTCTCAATTGCGGCCAGGTCCCTCAACTATGACGCGTCCACCAACCGCTCGACAAAATGTCTAGGAGGTGCTATCGATGTTGTGGCACTTGCTGCGGCGTCTGCTGCCCAGGTCGACCTTGACTCGCTCCTCTCCACCTCCCAAATGACAGCACTGCGGTCGATGGGTGCGCGCCTCAACGGCCTCCGCCTTGTTGACGCCGGTTGAGAGAACCTCGGCGACATGGAGACACTCAACGTGCGCTGAACTTCCGAGACTGCATGAAGCGCCCTCATCGCATCGACCTCCTTGTCTCGCTCCGGAAGCTGGGCATCAGCTACAACTCCATCGTCGCGCTCCCGGACTCCGTGGACTGCCTCACCAAGCTGCAGCAGCTCGTCCTCGCGGGCAACGGGCTCAACGACACCAGCCCCGCGCAGCTCGCCGCGCTCAGCGACATCAAGGCGCTCATCCTCTCCGCGAGCTGCCTCCAACCTGGCCCTCAAGGTGTTCGACACTTGGTGGCAACCGTTTCGAGTGCCCCCCCGAGCAGGTGCAGTTCGCGCATGAGTGCGCCGCCGACACCGGATGTGCACGAGCTCGACCTAGACGTGCTCGTCTCCGTCGACACTGCCGCCCATATGGAGCACTGCGCCCTCAAGCTCCATGGTTACACTGCGCCCGCACGGTCGTGTCCATGTTCACGCACCCCAAGCTACCAACCAGCACATCCACGTCACTCATCGCCTGCAACGTCACCGAGGCGTCTACCACAGCAGCTTCAACGATAGCAAAGGTTGCAGTCACCACTAGCGCCCAATCCATCTCCATCATCAACACCAGCTATGTCGACCATGCCATGGCCACGTTCCAGCCTTCTGTGGTGGTGCTCCATGCTCGCGCTGCTGGCCGAGGCGCGCGCTGTCCGTGTGGATTGCGACAATAGCTCTTGCAAGCACATCTTCGTCTGTTCCAACAAGTGCTCACAAGTTGTTCAACGGACCGCTCAACAGGTATATCACCATGCTTTTCCCTACTCCTTTGTTGAATGTTCTGTTGTTGGATTGCACTGCCACTATGCATGGGGAACATCAGAGATCTCAGAAGATGGCTGAATCGAGTACAGTGATGTTGTGGCCACCTCTGATCCATCAACATGGCATATTCACTTATGGTTTGGGAAATGATGTGAAACTGAGGTCACCTTTGCTTCCACCTCGATCATTATCTCTGCAGTTTGAGATCCAGAGTACTGGAGTTCAACTCAGACCAACCCCTTGGCTATCTTTTTATAGTTATGCAGCTCTAGTGCAATGGATAAAATCTCTGGTTGCAGCTGATGACATACTGCCAAAGCCTTCTTGGGTGTCATTTGCTACAGGCACCTTGTTCACAGTTGGTTACAACTGCAGTAACCCATGTGATTCATTACAGTATGCATGGCAACTACTACTTGATGGGGGAATATATACCAAAGCTGCTGATGTTGGTGCTGATCTAGTTGGAAAAGTCGAAAGGAATATCCCTGAAGATGATCTGAGAAAACCAGCTGTCATTGCAGACAATGTTGGTGACAATGTTGGAGATATTGCCAGAATGGGGTATGGTGCTGCTGTGGCTGCTCTGGGAATGCTCAGCACTATTGCTACTGTCAGTGACAATACTGGAGGAATTGCTGAAATGGCTGGCATGAGCCACAAAATTTGTGGGAGAACTGATGCTCTTGATGCTGCTGGAAACACTCCTGCTACCATTGGGAAGGGTTTTGCAATTGGTTCAGCAGCCTTGTTGTCTCTTGCCCTCTTTGGTGCTTTTGTCAGCTGTGTTGCGATCTCGACTGTTGATGTCCTGACACCTAAAGTTTTCATTGGACTGATTGTTGGTGCCATGCTTCCATACTGGTTCTCAGTGATGACAATGAAGAGTGTTGGCAGTGCAGCACTCAAGATGGTTGAGGAAGTTTACAGACAGTTGAACACTATACCTGGGCTCATGGAAGGTACTACCAAACCTGACTATGCGACGTGTGTCAAGGTCTCTACTGATGCATCTGTCAAGGAGATGATTTCCCTTGGTGGCCATGACTGAATTGGTTTCTCTGCATTGGCTTGAGAGCAAGCCAAAATTAAAGGAGGAGGGGATGTTAGGTACTCTCTAGTGGCGAGCTGGTATTGGCCATGGGCCAACACGGACAGCCCATGGAGGGCCCAAGGCGGCAATAGGCAAACAATACGAAGGAAGGAAGGAAGGCAGCAGATGTGGAAGGCATCGGATGAATTATCAGAAGAGTCTTCTCCTACCTCTGTTCCTCATCTCCCTCCTCTGGCCTCTCTCTCTAGGTCTAGAGCTCTATCTCCCTTGCCTAGTTCAATTCCTCCTTTCTCCACCTAGATTGCTCCGCTAAGCTCGAGACCTCCCTTCCCCTGAGGTCGTGTAATCTGATTGTATCCTAATCAAGTTGTTCTGTGATCTATTCGAGAAGGGCGTGCTAACAAAAAGCATGCCGACAGTGGAGCCCAACGCCTCCCCACCTAACCAAGGGAAGAAGGGAAGGCAAGCGGTTCGTCTTCGCTTCGATTCGATTCATAGGCAACGTGATTTCTTAAGAGCTACTACCACGAACCCCATATTCCTATCGCAAGCAGCACGCATCGGTTATATTCGAGGAATCGAGGAAGGAGCCGGACGAGGTCAGGGGGTGCGAAACGCGTACGTACCAGCTTTCGGCGGCCGGCGGCGCGCGAGTTCTCGCAGCGGGCGAAGCCGACGATGATGGCTACTCCCACCGCGACCCCCAATACCAGCCCCACCCAGAACCCCATCCCGCTCCTCCTCCTCCTCCTTCGCACGACACCCTACCGGCACCGCCGCCCTCCCGCGTCCGCTAGCCGACGGACGCGCATCCGGGGGCTGGCTCGCCGCGGAGTCGGAGATGGCGAGGAAGCAGCAGAGCTATCGAGCTGCAGGTGCAGGGCGTCGGCGTCGGCGTCGGCACCGGGCAGGGGCAAATGCCGGCGCCCGACGGCAGCGGGGTACGGTCGGCTGGATAACAAGTGGAGGTTCGCTGGTCCTCGTACGAGTTTAAAAATGAGACTTTTTACGTATGCTGTTATAAAAGATCGTAATCCTCAGCGTGTCTTTCAAAAAATTCAGCGGTCTTCAGCGTCACTATTTTAACCTTTCCGTATCCTCTATGCCACTTTCGTTAGTTTGGGCTCTAACGTCGTCGAACTGTAGATGTGAAAAGACGAAAATACCCTTAAGTCTAAATATGTTATTAATTTTTTTTTGAACATTTAACGACTTCAAATGAAAAAAACTCAAAACTAGAAAGTTGCAGATCTCGTCAAGATCTATAATTTTCATATAAAATTTATTTTTATTTAATTCTGCAAAAAAATGATGATTTTTCTAAGATATATTAATCATATCAAATTATATTTTTTGAAAATTATAATTAAATGAAAATACAACTTTCTAGTTTTGAGAGTTTTTTATTTGAAATCGTTAAGATATAAATAATATATATAGACTAAAACGAGATCTATTTCTTCGATCGACAGAAAATACGAGGATATAAAAATCATTTCACACATCAATTTTTGAAGACACACAAAAGAAAAAAAAAATTACGATCTTTTATACGACACACGCGAAAAGTTCTCTTTAAAAATACAGGGGAGCGGAAACGCGGAGACGATAGAGGACAGACAAGGGAACGGAAATCGTGAGGGGGCGTCAGCCAGACCAACGGGGGGAGATCTCGGAGGAAAGAGAAAGAGCACACATGTTGCTCGGTTGGCTTTCTGGTCAGGTGGTGATGTGGGGGAGGCGCTAGCGTCGGGGTGGAGGGGCGGCGTTGGACTGGCGTACAGGTGGGGTAGAGATGTTGTGGGGTCCGCAGGAGAGTGGGTGGTTTGGGTGTGGGTTCTGGTGGACGGTGATGAGCTGTCGTGGTGGTTTTTTATTCTGGGAACGTGTGATGGGTTGGAAAAGGTACCGAATCGATTCACATTCGATGCTTCCTCGGTCAAAATTTAAATGAAAACAATATTATAAAAATATTCACATACTGTTCATTCACTTTTAATATTGTTCCTGTCACCCTGACACTGTTCTCTGATGTTTACCGCTGTTTGAAACCGTGTATATCACTGTTCATTCACGGTCACGTCTTCCATTCCATTTCAAGTAATCTTTTGTTCTCGAGTATTCACGACGTCTTAAGTTGTATACGGACAACAGATTAATCGGCATTCGGCAAAATGCACAACACAATAAGTCACTTTTTTCACTTTTTAAAGGTGACTTATTTCAACGATAATCACCATTTGAAACCTGTATATCATTGTTCAACGGTACTTCCATTCCATTCAAGTAATCTGTATTCGTATTTCACGGTATATACTTTGATTTGATGGTGAATCTAAGTAGTGAACCGTGGGTTATTAACGTCGCGAAATATGACCTAGGTTGTATACGGACAACAGATTAATCAGCATTCGGCAAAATGCACAACACAATAACAACTCACGATAATCACCATGTACTTATCTCATTCAAACTACTAAGTACTCACTGTCTTCGTATTTCACGATATATACTTTGATTTGATGGTGAATCTAAGTAGTGAACCGTGGGTTATTCAGGTCGCGAAATCCTTTCCCTACACAACAGGAACTCAAGACACTATGCTTATCTCCTAAGCTTAAGAGCTTATGTCCAATCAAGACGTATATTTTGATCCAAGGCCTGCAAGATCTACATGTTTGATAACCAACAAGGCTTGGATACCATTTGATCGATCTAATTCGAGAATGACGACCACCTGGTAGACCCCTCGGTGGGTTAATTGTCAACTTAGCGTCAGAAAACCACTCAATACACTTCGTGTAAGACTACTGCCGACCTCCAAATCACTCTGGAATCACTAAACAACTCAATAGTCCAAGGAGAAGATCCTCCACCTGACTTTACAAGTCAACGAAGGTTTGAGGCTACATCAACTAGATATGTTTGCTGTGCACCTAGGGATAAAAACTACAATTAAATCTCTATCTTGTTCTCCAAATCACACAGAGGATAGAGGACATAGGTTTGGGGGTGTTTGGGGGTAACTGGTCAGAGCAAGATTCTACCCGGAGTACCTCGTCTACTTGGTGGACAATACATCCATGAGTAGATATACATGAAAACTGACTAGATAGGGACTCTATTGTAACTAAATAGGAAACATATTTGTAAGTCGATCAAGATATGATTATCTATAACCCAATCTTGAACTATATAAGAAGGGTAGAAGCTCCTGGTCGTCATCTGAGCATCCTAGTATCACATAGCAATCCTAGCGCATACCACCATATGACACACAAGGAATATAGGCATCGTCCTACACTAGACGTGGGGCGCTCTCTGCCTCCGTCACTATGAGTTTGCGTCTCATATGCTATAATCTAATTAAATAGCTCGCTATAGCTTTTTCATAGCGTGCAGCACGATATTATCAATTATTGTTTGTGTTCTGCTCTTGTAGCAAATGGCGTTTTAGCTACACTAAACACTGTTATTTGGCTTATAGTCGTAAAATATTTTTCGCACTTATAATATTGATCGAGGAAATAATTACTTCTTTATTCTACATGATATAATCTATGCCTCTCCGATGTTTTTTACTTAATGAATTCTATGATTCAAATGAAATTGTTCTTTCAGTGGTTGGCGACATGCTCGTTGCACAGCGAGGCGCTTATGGTGACTTTATCAATCTCGAGATCAACTGGCTCAACCATAGTCATGTTTTGAAGATTGCATATATAAAGTAGGGTGTATACATGTGCGTTCATATAGATGATTGTGCGTATATATATAAGTGCTTTCTATACTAGGATTCGCAAAAAAGAAAAAAAAACAATCCATTATAAACAACCACTCTATCTCATCTATGAGATCAGAGTATCAGACTCGTCTACGAGCGAGACCAGAGGGGCTGGACCACAAGATAAGAAAAATCACCCGAAAAAAACCTAGAAATGACCGGACAAAGGTTAATCAAGCTAACACTCATGGCCTCATCACAACCTAAGCCTAGTTCTTAAGCTCTTTCGCTCCAGCAAGGCTCCAAAGTCTCAACTCCTCGAGAACTGCCGTGCAATATAGAGGCAAGGGGAAAACACCATAAAAAACACATTTGTTTGTTGCTCCTATGGTTCCACAAGGTCCAGCCGTCCAGGCCCCAAAAATCATAGCGGCATTAATTAAACAAATAAAATATTAAACCCTGTCTTTGAGCTTTATCAATCTGACAGCTTGCATATCTCCACTATTTCGAGAAACTTTGATCAGATCGCCTTTTAGCAACGTGCCTAGACCAACTGGTGCTAACAAATTGTGCCAAAATTGCCAAGTTAGGATATGCTGGACATTCTCTTGGTCACATAAAAAACATTGCTCATGATGAGGAACACCTCTTTGGGCTAAACGATCCGCTGTCCAGCATTTGTTTCAAAATTGCTAGTATACTTGGCCATGCAGCCCGCGGCACGAAGGCCCGCCACGGAGCCCGTTGTTTTGGCCCGGCCTGGCCCGACGGCTAGCGGGCCCGAGCTGGCACGACCCGGAGGAGCAGGCCGTGCCTGGGCGTTACCCCAGGCACGTGGGCTGGCACGGCCCGGCCCGCTCCTCAACGTGAGGCCCGGTGGCGGCTCGGCCTGCTCGTCTACCGCATGCTGCAGCCTCCTCCCCCGCGCAGCCCCACGCTCCCACCCCCGAACCCTAACTCCCTTCCCCTCCCCCTCCCCGCCGCCCCGCGCAGTCCCCTCCCCACGCGGCCGCGCCGCACTCACTCCTCTGCGCCGGCAGCGCCGCACTCCGCCCTCCCCCGCGAACCCTCCCCCACGACTTTGCTCCCCCGTCCTCCGCTCGCCAGCAGGTGGCGCTGCCGGCCCCTTCCCTCCTCGCGGCCTGCGAGGCCGCCGGATCCGGCTCAAGCAGCTGCCTGCCTGCCTCGCTTTCCTCGCCTCTCTCTCATCTCTGCGGCCTCCTCCATGCACCGCCGTCGACCTCGGCGCGCGGCGGCGGGCAGGTGACCG